CATGACCCGTTTGCCAGGCCTAATCTTATATAAGAAAATATTTTCGTAAAGATTCGGTACACATGTTTTTGCATATTTTCTTATGTGCCACTAATTCATTACAATATATTTAGGTACGAACATTTTGGTACACTAGGTTAGTATAATATATTTACATAGATTAGGCAGGTTTGACTGTGCTTTTAAAGTAACTAAATGTGTTTCAAGATCGCCAAAAGAACTTTTAACGGTGTTGGCAAAAAATTGACAGTAATGTTGTGAGTTTTATAATAAAATAATAAAAACTACTTGAAATGCTCATAGTATGAAGCACTTGAAGCAGCTGAACTGATGTGCTTTTTAGAAAAAAAACACACTTTCATTTTTTTTTTTAAATGTTTCCATGTACCTGGGGCCAAATTAGGCTTATTATCTTTGTTGTTATCATCTGCCCCACCTTGAATTTTCTTTGGTAGATCTAACGAGCGAAGGTCGTCGTTTGTGCGTTCTTTAGTGGAAAATCTCTATTCGACGTCTTGAAGGGGTTGGAAATATTGCATTATGTGGTTATGCCAAATTCTCAGTCGGGATCTTGGAGGACCCCTTGACTTCTAATGTGTGGTTATGGATGTTTTCTAATGTTGCGAAAGCTACTTTTCCATCTAATCAAGCATAATTTTTTAAGTGTAGAGATTCAAGATCCTGCTATATATACAAAGACAAAAAGCATTGAGCTGCAGCAAGCCTTCAAACACAATGGCTCATGGCTTCCTTCTCACAATCCTCTTATTCACGTCCATTATATCTCCAAATATCCACGCATGCAACCAAAATGAACGTAGCGCTCTCTTGTCCTTCAACCTCACTCTATCCTCTCCTCCTTTAAATTGGACTTCCATTAACTGTTGTACTTGGGAAGGCATCACTTGTAATCAGGAAGGTTGGGTCACCCATTTGCTCTTACCATCGAAAGGGCTCGACGGAGTTATTTTTACCTCGTCATCCTCACTTGAAAACCTCACGCATCTCACCCACTTGAATCTCTCCCGCAATTCACTTCACGGTTCATTCGAAAATAAACTCTTTGAGTCCTTGGATTCTCTTGAGATTCTTGATTTGAGCTATAACCTTCTTTTTGGAGTGCTACCTTTGTCTCTAACATCTAGAAACATCCGGACACTCGATTTGTCAAGCAATCGCTTCCATGGTCCAATTCCGTCTTCGTTCTTCATGCATGCTTGGAATTTGACAAGTTTCAACGTCAGCAACAATGCCTTCTCCAGCTACATCCCATCCTCTATATGTCTCCATTCTAACCCCTTGATTAGAGTGTTGGATTTTTCCTCAAACCAATTTAATGGCAACATTTTACGTGGTTTTGGGAGGTGTTCCGAGCTGCAGATCTTCCGTGCTGGTCACAATAATCTCTCAGGGCTACTTCCAGAAGATATTTATAATGCTACCAAACTCGAAGAAATTGCAGTACCTCTGAATTCACTATATGGAGGCATTAGTGAGAGAATTGTCAACCTCAACAACCTCGTAATCCTTGATCTCTCCTTCAATCAACTGAGCGGAGTACTCCCTCTCCGTTTGGGGAAGCTCTCCAGGTTAAAAATCATAAAGCTCGATTTCAACGACCTACAAGGTTCGTTGCCCCAATCTTTGATGAATTGCAGCAGCCTTGTAGAACTACGTTTGGCAAAAAATAACTTGGAAGGAGACATTACCAAGCTTAATTTCTCCAATCTTGCTCAACTTACCAAACTTGACCTGTATACGAACAACTTCACTGGTAAGTTGCCAACAAGCCTTTACTCATGTAGATCCCTGAAAGCAATTCGATTAGCTTCGAACAATCTAGAGGGACAAATACAACCTGAGATTCTTTCGCTAAACTCTCTGTCCTTCATCTCTCTTGGTAGCCTCCGATTGGAAAATGTCACAGGAGCAATGAAGATATTGATGCATTGCAAAAGTCTTCAAATACTCCTCCTTACGCATTCCTTTAATGGTGAAGGAATGCCATCTGACAATGACATGGTTAGTTTTGATGGATTTCGAAATCTTCGATTTTTGAGCTTGGCGTATTGTGATCTCACAGGTCGAATACCTGTATGGTTAGCAAAGCTAAAGAGCCTAGAGATCTTGGCTCTGGATGGCAACAAAATCACAGGGACAATTCCTAGCTGGTTGGGGATTGATCTACCAAGACTTTTTAATATAGGCTTGTCAATGAACCTTCTTTCAGGTGAATTTCCGAAAGAACTTTGTAGACTACCGGCGTTGGTACATGAACTTATTGCAGCTCAAGCAGACCAATATGAACTCGAATTGCCAATGTACATTATGAACAATGGCCGGGTACTAGTTTCCTATGGATTACGCAGCATATTGTATGGCTTTCCTTCAATGATAGATCTTTCTTCCAACAACATTACCAGTAATATACCATCTGAGATCGGACAACTGCAGCTTCTCCAAGAGTTGTATCTATACGACAACAACTTCTCCGGCAACATTCCAGACCAAATGTCTAACCTTAAGATGTTAGAAGTTTTGGATCTCTCCAAGAATCACTTGTCCGGAAAAATCCCATCGTCTCTGGCAAGCCTTAATTTCTTGGCTATCTTTATTGTCTCATACAATAATCTCGAAGGACCAATCCCAACAAGCACTCAGCTCCAAAGCTTTGAAGCTTCTGCATTTGAGGGGAATCCAAAACTTTGCGGTGCACCGCTTCCAAATGAGTGTCGCATTGATGCGCATGATAAGAATAGCCAAGATGATGAGGACGAAGGGCATCAACTACCGTGGTTCTATATTTTCACTGTGTTCGGGTTTATTTTCGGATTCTGGGGAGTATGTGGTTCTTTGATCGTAAAGAAGACATGGAGATATGCATACTTTCGATTCACAGACAGCGTACAAGATAGGCTCTATGTCATGTTAGCAGTGCGCATGAATAGGATGAAACAATGGCTTAGCTAAATAGAGTCATTTGTTTTTTCTCGGTTAAATTTAAGGGTTTCGAATATAAACCTATGTTATGTATTTTATTTTATAATAAACGTCCCTATGTTATCGAAGTTATTGCTTTGTAAATGACTCGTAAATTGTAATTTGCAAATCCCTCTCATATCGTGAAAAACAATCTACGAAAGAATAGCAATACATAATCTTCACAGAGGACTGCAAATTAACATGTTCCATTTAACAAGGATTCCCATGCAGTCTGCTTTCTGTCAATATAAAGAACACTCACTAGTTCTCTATTCTTAATTTGGAGTTGGGGCTTCGCAAGACTAGGCATGTTTGACAACTTTTTTAAAGTAACTAAAAGTGATTTAAGATCACCAAAAGAGCTTTTAACAATGTTTAACCAAAAAAGCTAACCGCAGCTGTGAGTTTTAAAAAATAAAAAATAAAAAAAAGAAGAGGCACTACGTGAAGTGCTTTTAGAAAGAAGCACATGAAGCAACTAAGGTGCTTTCCGGGACAAAGCACTTAGCTTTTTTTTTTTTTTTTTCTTTTTTTGTTTAAGTTTCCGTGTGATTCGGGCCTAACTAAGCCTATTATCTTTGTTGTTATCATCTCATCTTGAATTCTCTTTAGTAAATCCAATGAGCGAAGGTCGTCGTTAGTGGTTTCTTTAGTGGAAAATCTCTATCCGAGGCCTTGAAGGGGTTGGAAAAAATTGCGTTGTGTGATTATGCTTGTTTGCCAAATTCTCAGTTGGGTTATTGGAGTACCCCTCGACTTCTAATGTGTAATTATGGTTGTTTTCTAACGTTGACAGAGCTGCTTTTCCATCTAATGAAGCTTAATTTCTAAATGCAAACACTTGAGATCCTACTATATATACAAAGAGAGAAAAACATTGAGCTGCAGCAAGCCTTCTAACACAATGGCTCATGGCTTCCTTCTCATAATCCTCTTGTTCACGTCCATTATATCTACAAATATCCATGCATGCAACCAAAATGAACGTAGCTCTCTCTTGTCCCTCAACCTCACTCTATCATCTCCTCATTTAAATTGGACTTCCGTTAACTGCTGTAGTTGGGAAGGAATCACTTGTAATTTGGAAAGTCAGGTCACCCATTTGCTCTTACCATCGAAAGGGCTCGACGGAGTTGTTTTTACCTCGTCATCCTCACTTAGAAACCTCACGCATCTCACCCACTTGAACCTCTCCAGCAATTCACTTCACGGTTCACTTGAAAATAAACTCTTTGAGTCCTTGGATTCTTTTGAGATTCTTGATTTGAGTTATAACCTTCTATCAGGAAAGCTACCTTTGTCTCTAACATCTGGAAATATCCGGACACTCGATTTTTCAAGCAATCGCTTCCATGGTCCAATTCCATCTTCGTTCTTCATGCTTCTTGGAATTTGACAAGTTTCAACGTCAGCAACAATGCCTTCTCCAGCTACATCTCATCCTTTATATGTGTCCATTCTAACCACTTGATTAGAGTGTTGGATTTTTCCTCAAACCAATTCAGTGGCAACATTTTACCCAGTTTTGGGAGGTGTTCCGAGCTGCGGATCTTCCGTGCTGGTCACAATAATCTCTCAGGGCTACTTCCAGAAGATATCTATAATGCTACCAAACTCGAAGAAATTGCAGTACCTCTGAATTCACTTTATGGAGGCATTAGTGAGAGAATTGTCAACCTCAGCAGCCTGCAATCCTTGATCTCTCCTTCAATCAACTGAGCGGAGTACTCCCTCTCTATTTGGGGAAGCTATCCAGGTTAAAAATCATAACCCTCGATTTCAACGACCTACAAGGTCTTTTGCCCCAGTCTTTGATGAATTGCACCAGCCTTGTAGAACTACGGTTGGGACGAAATAACTTGGAAGGAGACATTACCAAGCTTAATTTCTCCTAACTTGTTCAACTTACTAAACTTGACCTGTATAGGAACAACTTCACTGGTAAGTTGCCAACAAGCCTGTACTCATGTAGATCGCTGAACGCAGTTCAATTAGCCTCGAACAATCTAGAGGGACAAATGCAACCTGAGATTCTTTCACTAGACTCTCTGTCCTTCCTCTTTCTTAGTGACATGCGATTGGAAAATGTCACGGGAGCAATGAAGATATTGATGCATTGCAAAAGTCTTCAAATACTCTTCCTTATGGATAACTTTAACGGTGAAGGAATGCCATCTAACGACGACATGGTTGGTTTTGATGGATTCCAAAATCTTCGAATTTTGAGCTTGCCATTTTGTGATCTCACCGGTCGACTACCTGTATGGTTAGCAAAGCTAAAGAGTCTTGAGATCTTGGATCTGGCAGGCAACAAAATCACAGGGTCAATTCCTAGCTGGTTGGGGACTGATCTACCAAGGCTTTTTTCTATAAACTTGGCAATGAACCTTATTTCAGGTGAATTTCCGAAAGAACTTTGTAGAATATCGGTGTTGGTACATGAACCTATTGCAGCTCAAGCAGACCAATATGAACTTGAATTACCAACGTACATTATGAACAATGGCCGGGTACTAATTTCCTATGGATTACGCCGCATATTGTATGGCTTTTCTTCATTGATAGATCTTTCTTCCAACAACATTACCGGTAATATACCGTCTGAGATCGGCCAACTGCAGCTTCTCCAACAGTTGTCTCTAGAAAACAACAACTTCTCCGGCAACATTCCAGAGCAAATGTCTAACCTTAAGAAGTTAGAAATTTTGAATCTCTCCAAGAATCACTTGTCCGGAAAAATCCCATCGTCTCTGGCGAGCCTCAATTTCTTGAATAGCTTTGTTGTCTCGTACAATAATCTCGAAGGTCCAATCCCAACAAGCACTCAGCTCCAAAGCTTTGAAGCTTCTGCATTTGAGAGGAATCCAAAACTTTGTGGTGCCTCACTTCCAAACAAGTGTCGCACTGATGCGCATGGTAAGAATAACCGCGATGATGAGGACGATGGGCATCAACTACCATGGTTCTATGTTTCGGCTGTGTTCGGGTTTATTTTTGGATTCTGGGGAGTATGTGGTTCTTTGATCGTAAAGAAGACATGGAGGTATGCATACCTTCAGTTCACAGACAATGTACAGGATAGGCTCTATGTCATGTTAGTAGTGCGCATGAATAGGATGAAACGATGGCTTAGCTAAATAGAGTTCTTTGTTTTATCTTGGTTACATTTGAGGGTTTCGAATACTCTGTTATGTATTTTATTTTATAATAAACGTCCCTACACTATCGAAGTTACTGCTTTGTAAATGAATCATAAATCGTAATTTAAAAATCCCTCCCATATCCCTCCCACATTTCCAATCCCCTCTAACTTGGTCTCGATTCCTTGAGACTAGGAAATCCCTCACCCCAAAAGAAGTCAAAATTTTGATTCAGGGGCCAAACTGAGAATCGGGTTGCCAAATTGACAATGTAACATGTCATTTTTCTAGCAAAATAACATCACCACCAAAATATTCAAAAACAATCTACGAACGAATAGCAACATATAATCTTTAGAGAGGACTGCAAATTAACATGTTCCATTTAACAAGGATCCCCATGCAATTTGCTTTCTGTCAATATGTGCACTACCTGAAAGAACTCATGTTGCGCACCAAAGTAAAGACACGACTAATCGCATAAGATATGACCTTGATTACACATCATATTTGGATGAAAGGCAACCAGGTTCCGACCACAGCAATATGCCAAACGAAATATCATTCAAGACTAGAAACATTGAAACCTACATCCCATCTCGAGGAACCTCCTCGTTTATCTACAACATGCCTACAAGACTCATCATACCTCAACTAGCATCAAGCTTAGTAATGGTGTGGACCAGGATTGACTCCAGCATCCCTATCTGGCGTGTAGTTATTCTACTATTGTCCAGGGTCATTCCATCCTGCATTAGAAGGGGGAGCCATGTTTGGTGGCACACCTCCTGTGCTATTAGGAGGCATCTGACTGTAGTTGTTGGGCGGCATCTGATTGTAGCTGTTGGGAGACGCCTGATTATAGCTATTCGGTGGCCCATAATTCCTGTTGTTGCTTGGCTGGGGATTATTGTAGTTGTTTGGTTGACCCATGTTGGGAGGCGGCATTGGAGCCCTGTTGGGGGGGTGGAGGACCCATGTTGGGAGGCAGCATTGGAGCCCTGTTGGGGGGTGGAGGACCCATGTTGGGAGACATTGGAACCCTGTTAGGGGGTGGAGGACCCATGTTGGCAGGTCCAGATCCCGAATTTGGCCCAGCTTGATTAGGCATAGGAGATGGACCCGTATGCTGAAAATCACGATTCTGCATATTTTCCCTTCTCCTTTCAAAGTTCCTTGATCTGTCAAAGTTACGAGGTCCGTCATTACGCCTGTTTCTCTCATTTGCTCGACTATTGTTTCTTATCCATTCCTAATGGTACTTGGGATCATATGGCATTGCTTGGCCATTAATAAAAGGTTCACCTACCAAAACAAACAAGAAAGCAAACAAATCGTGGATAAAAGAATTTTCCTAGTTAACTTAGTTGAAAACAACATAGAAAAAGCTATACAATGTGCAAAAAACACACGCTGTTTAATATTACCATAACACTCGGTACCCGGACCACAATTCTTAGGAGTATAGAAATTTTGAAATGAAAATTACCGTGGATCATTTTTTTCGGATGCAATCGACACGCGAAACTAGTTAGTTCAAAATTATGATATTTTACACAAAAACTCTGTACAAGATGACTAGGGTTGCAGAAAGCCTTCAACAGGGGTCTTTATATTTCACCGGTTCTACACACCACTAGCATTGCTACAACATCAACTGCCTAATAACTTTCATCTATAACATTCTAGAGCCAAAAACTATCCTTTGTCAGAAAAAATAAAGAAATAAATCTAAAATCAAAATATCATCAGACTGCCAGAGCAATTACGGAATGGAACTTATGACTTAAATGAATCAGTTGCTATAAATAATTTTTTTTCTTTGAAATTCAACTTGAAGAAACAAGCGTATCCGTACCTCCATAATCTTTGTTCTTAACATCCAAGTAGGAATCAGGAAGTACCCAACGGACTCCAGGCAACTCTGCAAGAATTTTACAAATACACACACACACACACACACACATATATATATATATGAGAACTCAGACACAAGAAAATAATAAAATCCCAACTTAGAAGCAGAATCACCTTTGATTTTGAGTAAAACCTCTTCAGATACAAGCGCCCCAAACGCATAATAGCACCTAGTTGAAACTGAGTAGATCTTCATTCTTGCTTCTTCCTCACTGCAGTTCAGCCGAATGCGTACAAGCAATGTAAACTTGGTTATATAAATCTTCATTACAAAATATAAATCACAGGAAACACAAACAATAGGAATAGAGTACAATCCTATGTGCTTTTTGAAATGTGAAAGCCATGAATCTTACAAAAACTTTAGTCTGTAAAAAAAAAGTGATCAAGACCATACTATTTAAGAGATCATTAAGACCCTGCCACAAGGTGGGGTTATAGTTTAGATTTTGAAAATCAAAAACCTACAAAAAAGTTAATGAGTTTTGCTTTTGTTAGAACTTCAAAACATATAACCCAACATTAAGAATTGCACCCCCAAATTTCGGCTGAAATATACAGAAACAAAAGAAATTTAGCGCAACACACACTTATCTGATATAAAAAAATAAAGTCAAAAACCCTACAAAAATGATATAAAAGGCCAATTGCAATTACAAAATCATTTCCTATCTTACAACAGAAAGCCATTAACTTTTACAGCTGCATACAACAGAAGGCCATTAACGGTATTAAGAAAATGTTCATATATTATGTTATACACCATAATCGAGTCGGCGTATAACACAAATAAACTAATATCCTACAACAAGATAAATGCCAGAAAGTAGCATGTGCATACAACCCTCCCCCAAGAGAAACAAAAGTTTCCTGGTGCAATACAAATCAACTTAACCCAAAATACTACTGTAATCAAGAGCGAAAAAGAGAAAATTAAAAAGCAACAACTTTGAAAAAACAAATACAGATATAAATTGAAAATGAATTAAAGATACAAATACACTATAAACACAGACATATAAATTCTAAAATTCCATTTCCAATTCTGATTTCTCATAATCCAAAGACATTAAATTAGTGATGAGCTATCAAGCTCTTTTCAGTTTCAGATTAAACGGAGCAAACAAAATCAGAAATGAAAGAACACATTCTGGAAAATTGTTCACACAGAGAATGTTACTCTGCTGATGCCATTCATTCACACTAAAGCTTGTGAGCTCACACAACCATACAAAAACTAACCGTTAAAGGAGAGAGAGCCAAAACAATTCTTAGTTAATCTCAGATTCTCAGCCCTCGATTTCATCTAGCCTATGAGCTAAATACAAGTGTCCTATCTCATGCTTATGAGCCATGTAACTAACACTCTCCAATAACAACATTACAGTTGAAATTTAAACATAAATCAGTCAACACATTTATATTTCAACAGTTTAGTGGCACCCTTCCCGGGTCATTAGGACGCATCTGATTGTAGTTGCCGGGAGGTGGCCCAGAATTGCAGTTGCTTGGCGAGGGATTATTGTAGTTGTTTGATGGACCCATGTTGGGAGGCGGCATTGGAGCCCTGTTCGGGGGTGTAGGACCCATGCTAGCAGGTTCAGGTCCCGAATTTGGCCCAGCTTGATTAGGCACAGGAGATGGACCGGTATTCTGAAAATCACAATTCTGCATATTTTCTCTCCTTTCAATGTTCCTTGATCTGTCAAAGTTACGAGGTCTGTCATTACGCCTATTTCTCTCATTTTCTCAACTATTGTTTCTTAGCAAGAAGAAAATGAGAGACAGAGATGGAAAAAAAAATGACAAGCCAACGAAGGGAGGATAACATGGAACAAAGGCACGAAACATAGTTCAGGTAAAACTCTGTGTAAATGTTGGTTGGATTTTAAACTTTCATACATTTGGCTGAATCTGAAGTTTTGATCTTTCATATAATGCAGAGACTTGTGAGCGAATCAAGCAGAGAACAATAGAAGCATTCAAAGACCCCAAGGTGAAGTCATGTAAGATTCAGTAAGTTTTATGATATTTTCTTCGAATATTTGTGCGTTTGAATTAGTATATAAGATTCGATCAACTAGTTTCTAATGTTTTTCAGTGTTGTTTGTTCTCATCTTACTGCAATCTACTCTTTATTCTTAATAGCTTGACAGAAAGACTTTAATAAATGGTCAAGTCGCATGTCACATATCTTACCTTTGGAGAAACTGGATCTAGAGCTTGTAAAGAGAGAAAATTCGAAAAGAAGTTTTGTTCGCAGACCAGACCAGAGCTGCCAAAAACTGAAAAATGGAAGTAGCTATGGTAACTTCATCCTCTGTTAGCATGGACGAATCCATATAGGGACCCAGGAGGTCCCGAGACCTTCCGGAAGCCCGAAGAAACACTTGTGATCAACCTTCGGAACCCCTCCAACAATTTGGGCAGGTGCAGCGGAGAGGTTTGTTGCCTCCATGGATGTGCATGCAACAATGCTTACAAAGAAGAAGAAGAGGTTTCTAATTTTTGTTTTAATCCTCCAAATCGTCGCAACCTCCCAACTTTAAACTCAAGTTATCTCATCCCCCAGCACCATTTGCTGTTCCACCACCTCTAGCTGCCTAATTTTATTTCTTCCAAATTCATTTAAGTTTTTTAATCCTAGACTCTAGTCTTAACTCCCAATTGTAATATATATGTTACATTAAAAAATTTCATCTTTATAAAGTCATTAATTGATGTGTTATGTTGCTGAGGAGAATTTGTTGGCTTTATTACCTTTGAGATTAATTTTGATTATTATTATTATTATTATTGTTTTTAAAGCAGGACAACTAGTGGTAAGTCATGGTTATCCACCCCTTCTAGGGGCCTAGAAGACTCACAGAGGCATTTCAACTTTCTCATGACCACAGTCAAGCAGACTCACTAGCTTGGAGCCTTGAACCCGGGACCTCCCTGTTTTTTGTATTTTAAGAGTCGAAATCCGCGTCCTTACCACTTGGCCACTTGATGCGGTTGATTAATTTTGATTATTCAATAAACCAAATTCAATATAAAAAAATAGTGCTATGGAACCAAACTAGTCTAATATATTT